TTCATTGGACTTTTAGCCAATGCATTCCATAAGACAATCTGAAGGATTTCCGTCAGATATAGAAAACTTTGCAAAAATAATGAGATTCTACTAGAGAGGTTTTAGGGCTGAATAGATGTTCACTTACACCGGATGACTATCATTACGACAAAGGTCACGGTCGTTTCGGTCGACACAGGGTCCCAGACCGGAAAAGGAACAGCTCACTCTATCCACCGACTGTGAACATTTCCGAATCATACAACAACAACAACAACAACAACAACAACAACAACAACAACAACAACAAAAACTGCCCTCTCATTTCCAAATCACACGTCACAAGATCACAATCAATCAATCAATCATATTCATCACATCTGAGCATTAAACTAATTTAACAATTTTGAACCCTATAACTGTATTGGCCCGAGGAGGTTGTTATTGAAAATAAGCTTTGTTCGCTACTTTGTTTTCTTAATGTCACGATGGGAATATTCAAAGAACCTTTGTATTGGTTAACGATGAGAGACAAAAAATATTAAACTCAAACGTTGTCTTCTACAGTTGAAGTGAATCTAAACAGCATTTGAGCAAAAAGTATGCTGTTTAAAAACGGCTAGCTTATCGAGAGTGACAGAAGTTGGTAGTTTTGCACCATAAATTGCACTCGCACAGATTTTTCCAGCAATGATAAGTGATATCATTAGGCTCAAAATAGTTTCTTTTGCTTACAGCTTTTTCTTGAAATTGAAACAAAACAATAATCATTCTAAACCTTGTTTCGTTCCAAGCATTTGTTTAATGTCAGTTTTACAAATAATGCCTATTGTTTGGCCAGCTTCTACCCACGTGGCTGCTAACCGCAAGTTATGGGTCAATTTCCTTCAAGGCTGCTCTTTTCTGGTACCACCTCAGTTGAATAAACGAGACTTTATTCTTTCGTGCAGGCCAACTGTTGCTTAATTCATGAAGTGGTAAGACCTATGAAAAGTTTATAAAATGTTCGGCGGGTAAACAGGTTTTTCAGTAATTTGTTTCTTTTATCCGCAATAGTGATATAGACAATAGTTGTGGATCATGTGGATTTGATGATTTATTGTCGGACGAATAGAATTGCATTTGCATCTTGATCCACTCATGTAGATTACTGCAGTACAAAAGGTCGTGGTCTGAGATACACTGCGATCGAAGTGGTCTCCTTCCTTCATGATCCAGATCCCTTTGTACTCACATATGTGGATCGATAAATCACTTCATTCGTACGTGAACCAGTCTTGTATTGGAAAATTATGTGTGCCTCATTTATCTTTTGAAGCAAGCAACGGGTTCACAAGAAATGTGCGAAAATGGGGTGTGAAAATAAATGAGGTGCTCACAATAAGAGATGGTACTCAAGAATCAACACAAGAGGTGTGGAACTTTGAACATGAAGCCAATAGAGATAAAGTTAGGTTAATACACGTTACTGAAGTAAGTCAAGCGTAAAATTGTCCATACTAACCCTCAGTAGCATATCTCTTCACAACACCGTGTACTACAGCATCGGTTTGGCGCAAAATTCGACCTCAGAAGGGAATCACTGTGAGAACATATAGAGAGTAGTATTTAGTGCTATCAAACGAGCTATCAAAGCGAGGGTTGTAGCTAGAAAGAAATTGCTGTTTATATCAAAGTATTTTGTCATTTTGTAGCCTCACGTGCAGTTTTTCCGTGAAGTTAAAACGATAGATAAACCAAAATGCTGACATCACATTCGTTATAACTATTTCATACTACGCATACTATACTATGATGTCCAAATGCTCCCCTTATCTGAGATTTATTTCTACAATGTATCGGCTGCTTTTACCAGTGACGAACAAAATTCCTACTGATATGAACGTCCAGTATCTCAGGTTAAAGTTGTATTTGTCCGCACTTAGCTTGATAGTGTTGAATTGATCATTAGTTCGGTCAAGTTATGCATAAGTGAATAAAATACTTGGTAGTCCTGCCCGAAAAGGCAGAGGAAACAGGTCTTTGAAACCCTTCTCTTTACTCGTCCAAAAACCCCTTTTTGATACTTTCTCAAGAGTTATGCTGACAAAAAGGACAACAAGAGCTCGGTTGATGTTCCATACCATTTCGCAAAGTGTCAATATTAATGCCATAAAACAAATTTGTCTGAGAGGCAGCCTGAATACTGTATAAAGCCTACGATTCTGACGATACATTGTGCAAAAAGTACCTAATATAATATATATTACTATTATATAAACTTTTAAACTTATAAATACACTTCCTGGGTAAAAGTATATAAAGAAACTGACAAAAGATTACCGGACACGCATATCTGACGAGCGGTAAGAACCGCGAAACCGGTAGTGTGCTTCCAGGGAAATTTTATCTAGTCATTCGAATACTACTTATTATGAAATAATATAATATACACAAACGAAATGTAAGTCTGTGCAGTGTCATGGAATGGCTCGACCGTCCATAAATTGCTTTGAACGTACTGACTCTAAATTCCTGCGTGATCAACTGGGATTCAATTTTGGATGCTTCAAATAGAAAAAACCTGAAAACTCCGGTTTCATGAACGTCGAAAGTAAATCATTTTGACATGTTTTCTTTGGACTGACCACTACAAACAGAGATGGATTGAAATCGGATGAGAACTTCATTTCCTGAGTTAGCTATGATAATCCGTGTGATGAAGATGTTAGGAAAAAGGATGTGAAAATGTTTACACTGTCATAGGAGATGATAAAACTGATCGTTGTTTCCGGGGTAGATGTAGATTCACCAACTGTAACGTCCTTAACATAGTGACACTAGATTTAATTGTGAGTCCTGAGAATTTCCTCAGAATTTTGAGTTTTGAGTTTAAGCTGTTTTTTTTATCTCCTTCGCAATTTTCTCTCAACCGTCTCCACTGGGAACGTGTTGTCCATCGAAGGATGTTGTCCAGGTTGAGACTTGATCCACATTTGGCTTTTTTGAGCATAAGTCCTCGGGAGAGATTCTGCTACACACCCAAGTCGAAATACATGACAAAACTAAATAAACTCCGGTTGATATTTTGAGAAAATCGAAACAACTAAACAAACCCACTGCCTGCTGCTGAGACATTTAATTAGTTGTATTTGGTTCACAATTTTAAACTGCGTCGGTAATGGTAAAATATACCGAATAGTGTAAGGATATATTTAAATATTGGTGGATCAATTTTCGCAGTCTGTCTCTTTACATTGAGGCTTTGCAATGTTAACGAGACGATGAGATTATGAAGTTGCATCATCTTGGGCTTTTCATAACTATCATGATATATTCAAAAACCAGATCAATTTCAAACCTGAGGCAACTGAGAGCAGTGTGAAATTGTTTACTGATATTCTGGTAATCCCGTTCTTCTTAATAAGGCCTTAAATTAAGTTATCAGTCCTTAATTTGTCCAAAAAACAGTCACCGTAATCATTGTATATCATTTAGTGCTGGTAAGTAATGCTGGTTCGAGAACAATTCATTCAAAAATTTCTAGAGGTATCAAAAACCGGATTGCACCATGAAGATAGAATTAGAAAGACACTGAATTGTAGTATAAGACGAAATCCGAATCGTTGTTGAAAAACTCTGGATTACTCCAAGGTGCAGTTCTTTCTCCATACTTATTTTCCATATATATCAGTGACTTGCCTGCTAGCGCCTCCACTTCTAACTTCGATGTGGTTTTGTGTCAGACCATCTTCGACTCTTCTGGTTTTTCACAATTTTCTGACAACTTCGATAAATTTTGGCGTTTTCCGCCACATCTGGCCTATCACTTAATCCCTCCAAATGTTTCAAATTTCTTTACATTATCGCGCTCTTCTTTCCAAACTGAACCGGTATTGATTGGCTCTTACAACTATCACGGTCAAAGTGTATTAAATACTTGTGTGTTTTTATTGATGTTAATCTTCGCTGGACCTCTCACATTCAACATATCGTCAGTAAGCTTCGACAACTTTATTTCCATATCCGTAAACTTCGTCAGTTTCGTATTCAACAAACAATTATTTCCAAATTTGTGTATCAGTATTTTTCCCCGTTTTACTTTATTGTTCACCTTTTTTTCCAATTTCCTAAAGAAGGATTTTTAACTGCTTCGACGTGGGCTAACCACCATTAGCCGTGTCTCTTCAATCCCGCTGGAGTTGGTAACTGACCTATGCGAACGTCATTTGAATGCATAAGAAGATTTTGTGCATAAGATTCTCATCGACTCCAAACATCCGCTACACGCAGATCTAACTTCCTGTTGTTCCCATCCTTCAAATTTATCCCAGCATCGTTATGTTCCCTCTCGAATAAACACACCGTAACTCTACAGTATCCTCACTAGCACGTATTCTAGTTAACAAAGAACAGGTTTTCGCAGACTTTATAAACAGTTTTGGGATTAAAACCTCATTTATTCAATAGTTTTTGTTTTTTATATTTTTCCCTTACTCTAAACTGTATATTCTTAACTGACATGTAGGCTTCATGCCTACAGAAGTTATTACAATACGATACAATACAATACATTCAGTTTTGCGAAGCTACGTTTTTGATAAATGTGTTTGACAAAATGTTGGGAGTCATATTCGTGGTCTAGTCGCTAATGAGCCACTCATAGTTCCAACTTCCCTAGCACTTAAATATAGAAATACACTTCCCCTACCATCAGTATTACTTGAGACGTCCCAACAAACAACTACTTATTGGGTATACTAAACGATTAAAAGTTCGCACACGAATTCCATCCAACGATTTTCCACTAACTTTATTTTGGCCTGCGTCGATATCAGTTTATCATTAGGAAAATATGGCACACGTTAATTGGGTTGCACTCACTTATCAATCCACTAATATTGGAAACTGAAAACTGGAATAGTGAAAAAAGTCCAGAATAAATTTGTTAGAAATGCATAAGAATATACAAACAATCTAGCAAACTCACGAACTTGAATGAACAGATGCCACCACAATAACCAGTTCCATCAATAAATAAATCAATACAATACTTTTACAAACACATACCGGTTGGAAGCACTTGGCCATCTAGACAATGGATGCATGGACTGCGTCAGATTACCCTCGTAGGCCCAATCGTTGCCAACGTAATAATCCTCATGTTTTGTCATAACCTGACAGAATTGTGATTCTTGCTCTGGAGCGAAATCAATCTGAATGGTGGGTACATTAGCGTACACAGTTCTCCGAAACGAATGATCCACATCAGGTGCAAAACGTAGCTGTTTATTCAGACCCAGATCGATTCTGTTCAGCATTGTTATCATCCTAGCCGTGTGCATAAATCGTACCACCGGAGACGTATGGGATGCATGTGGATCAAATGGTGGACTGGAAAATCAGCTGCGTTGCGCGTGAGTGATTGGGTGAGTGACACTCGAATTCGAGGCTGATGTTTTGCAGTTTTTATTCAATGTCAACTGGTCAACTTGTCTCTACAAATGGCTCGCTGAAAACCTACATCACCCAACAAATTTCACACAACCTGAAGTAGCCGAAACCTGGTGATTTATATGCATAACTAATACTGAGAGGTGCATAACCTGGATGCAAATGGCTATTGCCTTCTCTACATCAAAAAATCCAAACTTTTGATTTCGGGACTATGTGCAGTGTATATTTTAAAAATCTTCCTTGAACTGGCTATTTGGTCTCTTGATAGATGCGCAAGATTTATCACACAAAATGTGGCTGTGTGATTGGATTATCTGTGTGAAATGTCATCCCACGTGAATGCAATGACGACGGGATAGGCAGATAGAGAGAGAGGCAGATTTTGAAACCAGGCAAAGGAAGACAACCGTATAGATAGACAGACTGGTGGAGAGACAAACAGACAAAAGGCACAAAACAGGAGTACTTACAACAGAAAGGGCCCTTCAGTACGGTCAAAAGATGCCGATATATGCACAAATTCTCTCTAATTGCACTTAGGCAAGTATAACGGTATACCGGCGATAGCAGAGTCATTGCCAAATTATTTTAAAATGAAGGTACGATCACGGTCACATGGATAAAAAACGGGAAGTTGAGCACTTTGTCCGTTTTCCGGTGGGTGAGGATCACAATAGTCTGAATTCCCATATGACCAGTTGTAAAAAGAAGGACCACAATGGAAAATCAGGCAGATCACATTATTGAACTAAAATGCTCCGAGTGCACTGAGAAAATTTGAACAAAGCTTTGTTTTATCATAGTGACCTGGAAGTTATTGATTGCCCTTCAAATAAAAACTTATTATTATTGTGCAAAAGCACTATGTGATTTAAGTGCACATAAATGTAAATTCATTTTATACAATTCATTTTAGACAACATTTTATTGCGGTATTATGGAGACATTCTTATTGGAAGTACACTTACCATGACGCTTGGTATTTGGTGGTTTTATGAATCCACATACAAGCGACTGCAGATACATTCCGGTTTGATCAGTTTGTTGTAATGAACCACGAGTCCCATCAAACTTGCCGCGGTTACTTGAGTTGCGATCTGTTTCAGTGGAGGAGAAGTCCATTCAAAGCCATCGCTCATATCTTGAATGTAAACACAAACAGGAAGAAAGGGGTGTTCCATTGACCCACAATGTTGCTTTAAGAGTTGTACAGGTACAAAGATTCCCCCTGAAGTGTTTGATGGAATGTACCGCCAGAAGTTATTTATTCAATTACTGTTCATGCAAGACAATAATATGTAGCTTTAACTATAATGGTTCCGCGTACCATAGCTCCTCGATATTTTGAGCAAAACGCAGCACGGAATAGTTTTTAATGTGATCCATTAGAACAAGTACCATTCATACGTGCACCTAAAACCCATGATTTTGACGCATTACAACTGAAAATCTACAGTAGTACCGGAAACTCAAAATTAATAAGGCGTCTCTTGAAACAGGTCATCCACAAAACAATTACTATTGGTTTTCAGAAGCATGATTTGCCTCCGTCATTACAAACAAAGGAGCACATTTCCTTCTTTACTTTAACGGAAATATGTTCCACTACAGGATTATTTGGCTGCTTGTCTATGGTGGATCACTGCTGACCATGTGGAACGACTTGAGGCCAGATTGGCGCGAATTGAGGAGCGATCAAATTCCTAGCAGCTCTGAATCATTCATAATAACGTTGCTTCACATTTTCAGAGGTCGACCAAAGCAGCAATATCAATCAAAACCGACTGTTTGTTTAATTAGCTTAGTTCAGGGTTATCATAAAATGTGACCGAATCATTCCAACTGGCGGCTTTTGACAAGTTCATTTGAATTGCTCTGTCATACCACATCATTGGGCTCTATCTCGGCTCTTTATTTTATGGGTATTAGATGCAACTACTTGTGATCAACCTCTATTAAAGTTCTGATGTTTTCTACTCCAATGGATTAGGTTTTGAATCCGTAGATGAGTACTGGGCGAATAGCAGCATGTTAACCATGAATTTTAGAAGGAATTGGTTTAAATGTAGCTCCACGGTGACCTTCTTGCTGCAGAATGGTTAACTTGGAGACGCGGATCCTTCAAATGATCGTTCAGGAGTGAAGTGAGGTTTATATACCTTAAATTGGTCGAGTAATATAATTAGAAACTGCGCTTGAAGTACGAGTCCGAAGGGTGATCAGTTCAAATCAATATAATTTGTCTCGCACCATTACTCACGGGTAACTGCGAGTTAAATAGTGAAATTTGTTATATTTCCATAATAAGCAAAAAATGACAAAT